GGGCGCAGATGATGGATGGCGTATAAAAGAGACTCTCTCATGGACTGGCACGTAACCCTGACGAAGTCGGAAGGAGTCCGACGAAAGCTTGGTGTAGTTTTGTTTTGTTTTATGTTTTATGTTATTAAACTTGTATAGTTTGATATACTCCTGGTGTTCACAGTTTGTTTTTGGAAAGATATATATATATATACACACATGCATGCAAATATAATGGTCTTCACTGCTATTTGTTTATATAATTTCAACATTAAAAATAATTTATATAATACTATACAAATGAAAGATTATGAAGTTTCTATTCCTTGACAAATCTTTTAACGTATTTTCTTCATGTAATTCATTGACATTATATATACATAGAAAACAAACTTTTAGGGCAAAGTAACCTTAAAGTTAAATAACATATAAATTGTATAACCAGAAAGCAATACAGTTATATATGATACATCCGCCATTATGTCCAGTTTGGGGCATGAGAGTTGATAACAGTTTCTTATTAATAAATTATTATTTATTATTTGATCATCATATTTATTTAAACTAGTACCCTGAATAGCTGCTTTCGTTACCTCACTCATTAACCACTGTTTCTGCTTCAGTCCAATGTCTAAGTGCTGTGTTTCATCTAATATTTCTTCTAGAGTTAATGGATGGGTATCACCACGTTGATGTCGTGTCTAGATAAAAAAACAATTGATTTTATTATCTTTCAAAACTATAAAATTAGTTACATTAGATACTGACAAAATATGTGCAAAAATAATTTTGCTTAAATAGCTGAAGCACCTCAACTACTTCAATTTCAATAGTTTACTTTTCTAATTCTGCCTGTGCTGCATTTTCAATATTAATCCAGATACTGAAAATGATGTGAACTACCTACAATGCCAATAAATTACAACAGTATTAGAGCAATGTTATATAAGACTTATTAGACAGCAGATCACAAATCAAAATAATTCAAAAGGACTTTATCACAAGTAGCTTTTATCCCAACCAACATGCACCAAGTTGTTTTCACTGTGTAAAGTAAGAGAGGCTTCTTGGCACAAATGAGTTTGAACAATACTACTGAATCACATTTTTGGAAGTCTATTCAATTTGTATGTCATCATGCCATACAATTCAGACTTGGGTTTTCTTTCTACAGTTTGCAGGACTGCAACATATAACATAGCTCTATTCATCTTCAACACATGCCCACAATACCATAGGAAGATTAACCCTAGGCAAACTTGCTCCTCACAGCAATCCCATCCAGCCTTTTTTGATATTGTGAGTTTGAAGTTCATGAATAAAGGGAGATTAACCAAGTAATTATTAAGAAAATATTCAATCCAAAAGCTATGTATAGTACTGCATTACTTTTATTTGCTATAAATAAAGAGACCACAGGGGAACTATATTGTAAATGCTGTATTCACATAAAGTGCACCGTTTTAGTTAATTATAAATATTAAATGTACTCCGTTCTAAAATAAAAAATGTCAAATCCCAATCCGAGTGTTCATTGGCTCAATCCAACAATAGTTTATCTGGGAGAACAATATATTGTCTCAATTAGCAAACACAGGCCTGAAATTCTTCTTTGTACCTACTTTTTGTGTCATCACACAATATTGAAATATTGCTGCTGAAATATGGTAACCATAAAAGGTGCACATAGTAAACTTGGTAGCAAAATTATACCTTCATATAATTCACTATCTTTGCAAGCACGCCAAACTTGTAGCCAGAGCCTCCAGAAAGAGCTTTCAAATTAAAAGTTCCATTGCTGTGGTCTGTAAAGGGAAAA